AACTATAACAATAATAAAATATGATGACTCTTTTAATAAATATCTGAAAAGTTAACAATTAACTAGGGGCCCCAAAAATTAAATACAGTGGAGAGATTTTAAAATCGGATGATTAGGCAACAGTAGAATAAAATTTGAAATAAATAACAATAGGCTGCTGTGCTTATAAATAGTCAACAAATGTTAAAAATCTTAAAGTCCATTCGGCAACAGCAATATATATAACAATTAGATAAATAACAATTAGTCGGTAACTTGCGGTAACAGTCTTCAAGGGTGTGACACCGGAGGGCCATGAAGCTGGGCGGACAGCACCGGAGGAGAGAAGAGGCAGGGCGGAGAGGGGGCCAATATGCAGCGCCAGCCTAGTCGCAACATTCCTCTCCGCTGAAGATGGTCAGTCATTTTCCTCCTCACGGGCCCCAAAAGGCGCGCGGGGCGTACTAAAGTTACTCCATAAAGAAAGTTCTCACAAACGGCCAAGAATAAAACTTAAAAGGCACATTTATTATCCAAAAAGGAAGATTTAAAAGGATAAAAATCTTCAGTGAAGTACTCAAATCCGACGTCTCGCAACCTCTGACACTTCGCGGTCGGAGTAATAAGAACAAAACTCACAGCCTTGTCCGGGGTCGTGGACGTAACAAAAAAACACACTAAACTAGCCTACTATACAAAAAACACATTGACCATTGATCATGAGTCGTGACATTCGCCCGGTGGAATTAGTCACGGCTCAAAGATCCTAAAAAGTACCGGTTTTTAAGAAACTCTGCACTAACACTGAAGTTTAAAATTTAATTGTAAACAAACCAATGAGCCAATCTTTCTGAAATTTTTATGACTTATTGGTAGGTTTATTGTTAACATTTCCATACATTTTTAAATTTTTACTTGCAATAGTTTTTATGCTGCTGTTAATTTTTAAAATGTAAGCTAATATCGTTAATGAGACGCTAAAAATTCCGTTCAAAATACCATTGTGTTTGCCGTGACACAAGAAATAACACCAATATTACAGATTTATAACACAAATAAATGTGTTTTTTAAACAGATTTATATTTGTAAACAAAAATGTCTCCCGTGACTGGCAGCAGGCCACCTGGTGTATGTACGATGTTTAGGGAATGGGCACACGGGAGGGACTAAGGCTAAAGGTGTAGTGATGTCATATCTCTAGTGGCTAATGTCTTCTCTTGAGGCAACACGATTACCGTAACGAGACGATTTGATTTCAACGTGGTATAGTTAATATCATTTCAGATTGGTGTTTAGGAGGTCCTGGGTTTGAAACCAGCCGGGGACATTAACTTTTTGTCAACGATTTTTGCTTGGAATGCAAATACTTCTTAACTGTACATCTTTTGTTAGAATTTGATGCATTTATAATTTTATTTATGAACAGAACTTTTTTTTTAATATTGAACCTTTATTTGATTTTTATCTTATATCTTTTTTATAGTATCAGCAGTTAGGTTAGGTTAGGTTAGTTTAATTTTATAATACTAAATTTTAAAATTAATTAAAAATTATAAGTAATCATTAATTAGATTTTTATCATATAGCTTTTATATTATCAGCAAGTCTGGTTGGTTAGGTTATGTTATGACAGTTTAATTTTAAAAATTTTAAATTTATTTTAAAATTAAAAAAAATTATTTTATAATTAAAAAGTTAATTTCATAACAAAAAAAAAATAAATTTAAGTTTTTTCAACTTAGTGGTTCTAGTGGCAAACACTGACACTACAAGATATGTTAGCCTTAGTCCCTCCCATGTGCCCCACCACAATATTTAGGCATCAGTTTACGGGATTTAGATACTCAGTTTCTGGCATTTAATTATCATAATGTAGAACTCATTCAACTTTCAACGGATAATAAAATTATGTTACTTATCAATTCCCAAATTTTTTATTGCTGAACTTGCACTTTTGTTTATCTTCTTAGATGATTTTTGCTTTTCTTGGGCATTAATAGACCATGTGTTTTTGCCCGAAATCATCATCTCGTTCGATTTTCTCACTTTTAATTCCTTTAGTTGTCCACAGTACAAATTGGCAATAAGTTAAGTTCAATTTGCTTTAAGTTCAATTTGACAATATATTTTTTCAGTACAGGGAAGTTGGTAAAGTCAAGCACAATTTGACTAAAATCGCAAACATACTGTCAAGAAAAACTGAGACTACAGTTATTTGTACAATTCCACCAATACCCAGGTTGGAGATTGGCGAAGTCAACCAACAACGTTATAGGAACTGTCAGTTAAGGTTGAACCAACACATCCTGTCGTTGGCAAACAGTGAGTAGTGATTTATTTTGCTGCACATTACATGAATCACAATTTTTACTTTGTCAATTTATTTAAGCCAGTCTGTATCGTCATGGAAGACTTTTGCATGACAAAACACAAAGCAATAAAGAAATAAATAAATGAAAATGTGATAGAAACCTTTCTAGGCAATAAATTCCAGCTTATTTAAGTTTTATGCATATATAAGATAAATTGTACTGTTAATAGATAAAATAAAAGTTCTGGACATGGACCATCTATTCATCAGACCAAATGGCAGTATAGCAATGGATTGGTTTGAAAGGTAGGTTGTAATATATATACAATTTGACAAATTATGTGAACGTAGTGTTATAGAAATGTTTGTATAGGCTTTTTACTATTTTAACTACGGTAAAAAATCAATTTACATTGTAGATTGGGGTTAAGTGCAGTGCAATTAGCCAAAAGTTTTGATTTGCTTAGTACAAATTCAAGAAGTGCTTTAGTCAAAACGACATCACTTACTAGTAACTATCATCACGAAACTTTCAAAGCATATAAAGTGATTCGTGATGGGGAGTATTTTTCTAAACACATTCGACATAAACCATCTTTAATTTATATAAACTACTTAGCTCTACTTCATGGTAGAAAAACTTATATAACACAATGATAATAAAAAAGGCTAATAATAACATGATAAAAAGACAACAAAACAGCAGTTCATATTTGGCTGACTGAGCATTGATTGCAATGCGTAAAATATGATTATAAACACTAAACTTGTTTATGAACAGCTCATGATTCTTTCATTTATTTATTTTCTGTACTTATTTCACAAGCAAAACCTCAACCCGGAAGGAGTCATAACACTTTTCAACCCCCATTCTAAGAAATTATAATAATAGTATATAAATAGCTAAACAATATAGAGAATTAAAAAAAAAGTAGGTAACATAACAATGTATAGTAATAGTTAATCCAAATTTGAACATATGTAGCAATACTCTTATTATCTACAATATTAGTTTACTTTACTTTACTTTCTAATTTATTTTGTAGAGTAATGGGATCTGGACATCGCCGATGACCAGACATGATTCATTGGAATGGCAGAGGGATGGAAATGGTTGGCCGATATCTATTGGACAGTTTGGTTTAGGACGAATAGAATGAAATTCAGTATCCTATAGACCGACAGCTGTGCTGCGGTTTGGTTAGTGTAAGTTGTGGCGTATACCGCCAGAGTGTAGTGAAGTCAAGTAGCATGTGCACCTTAACTACTAATTACATAGTAAGAAACTGTAATTTTCGTTGTAAATAATTTCCTTTTGTGTCTAATGCAGAGGGCAGCCCACATATAGTTGTTTGTACAATTTACTTTCTAGCACTAGAAAGGTTATTTTATTTGTCGGAATTTAAAACCAGTTAAAATTTTGTTTAAATATATACACTAACATCATAATAAGTGAATATTCAATATAATATATACCATTTTTATAATTGATAATTGTATTTGGGCTGTAATGCAGGGTTCTGTTGTGTTGATTATTTTAACAACAGATCACGGTCCCCACCCTGTCGAAAATTGTCTGGTCCTTACTGACATAATTTTATTTTATGTAGAAAGGTGACTGGTCTGTACTGGGTGACTGGTATTTCGATGTTTAAGGTGAATTTTGATCATTTCTCACCACTTTTAGTTTATGTACACTGTAGTATATGTGGTTTATGTAGTTTTTTAGGGGAACGATTAGGGGAACTTTAACCTATTTCTACCACTTTTATTTTCTTATAACATATGTACACTTTTAGTTTACATATACCTTAACTTATTTCAGAAATAAAATATTTGGGAATTGATAAGGAACATAATTCTTTTATCCGTCGAAAGTTATCTGGACTTTTCAGCGTACATGGTATGGAAACGATTAGGGGAACTTTAAGCAATTTTCCACCACTTTTATTTTCTTATTTCTTAGTTTTATTATCCGTCGAAAGTTATCTAGTTATTTCAGAGTGAGCGGTATGTAAAGGATTAGGGGAACTTTAAACTATTTTCCACCACTTTTATTTTCTTATAACATATGTACACTTTAAGGCGACATGTACCTCAACTCATTTCAGCAATAAAAAGTTTTGGAATTGATAAGGAACATAATTTTATATTCCGTCTAAAGTTATCTGGTTTTTTCAGCGTACGCGGTATGGAAAATGATAGTTTTCTTATAACATATTTACAATTTAAGCTAACATATAGACCTACCTCAACTAATTTCAATAATATATAATAATATAGGGTATATTTAAACATTGAAATAAACATTTATTTATGCTGAGTTTTTATGGTTACTTTTATATTTTAAACAGTAGCTTTATATAGAAATGATTCTATACATTATTTAGGTAATATATATGTATAGTGTATTGCAATAAAAGTAAATAACTATACAGTTTTCCACTAAATGTATACTTTGTCTTTATATATATATTATTTAAGTATACTACATAACAAACAAGTATAGTGAATTATTTTTGATTTGGAAACCTGTAAATTATCCATAGTAGCTATGGTAGTAGGTAAATTTCATTTGCGAGGTCTTTTTTTTTTTGCATCGACTGTACTACTCTAAGCTAGGCGGTATCTGATTGGTTGAGAAGGAGAAGAAGGGAAGTCGTTGTGGGAGGGGAAATAATGTAGGGTCGACAGCTGGCGATAGCTGTCTTCACGATTGTACCATTTTTGTCAATTTTGTTTTTTATAGTAGGCCAATATAGTAGGAGATTGGTTGGCAACACTATCAATCAATTATCAATTATATGGGGACGCCACTGTTAGAATGTTCTAAAGGTAAGTTTTTCAATGTCTTTGGCATGTTATTAATAGGCCTAACTTTATTTACGATTTCCTGAAAGTTCCAATTTTCCACATGTAGGCTATGTTTTCTTTTTTCAGGAAATACTTGAGCTATCTTACTGAGTACTGATTTTTACTCATATTTTGTGTACATATAACTTATACACAACCCCTAGTACTTTAACAACAGCTGTAAACTTTTAAAAACATATCCAAACCATAGACTAACCAACACAAGTTTTATCTATGTCCAAACTATACCATCCTAGATAGGCCTATGCTACAGGAGGTAAGTTATGCTTAAGCCTATCTCATGTATAAAATGTTGGTACAACTGGTTAGGTTAAACATGGGTAAACTTCCATATTTATTGTCAAAACAACCTACTGAAAATATCAATCTATTTTTATTCGATTGTTTCAACAAGGTACAGTTTCTTAACTAGGCTAGATGTTATATTAATCGAAACTAGGCAATTGATTTGATTAGTAAACCTTCATGTAATTTTTTTACCATTAGTAAGTTTGGTTGGTTAGGTTAGGTTATGATAGTTTAACCCTCTGAGTGTTAAGCGTCGCATAATCGACGCACAACAACCCACTGTGGTGTTATGCGTTGCTTTTGCGACACACAAACATAGTTTACGGTGAAGGCTCTGGGACTGGCGGAATCATATTGAACTGGATCGAGATTATCAATCTATTTTTATTCGATTGTTATAACAAGGTACAGTAATCAAAACTAGGCAATTGATTTGATTAGTAAACCTTCATGTAATTTTTTTACCATTTGTAAGTTTGGTTGGTTAGGTTAGGTTATGATAGTTTAACCCTCCGAGTGTTAAGCGTCGCATAATCGACGCACAACAACCCACTGTGGTGTTATGCGTTGCTTTTGCGACACACAAACATAGTTTACGGTGAAGGCTCTGGGACTGGCGGAATCATATTGAACTGGATCGAGATTGGTATTATTGTTTTCGGCAGATTCTAAGCTTTCTCATGATGTCTTTTTCTAGACGCTTTTCATTTTAGTTCCAAAAATATTGTAACAGACAGCTGTCGTGTGTATTTGTAAACGCTTAGTTAACCTTACACCGATGACTGATGTGTTTTATTACATTTATCATTGTTTTAGTGTTAAAAATCAAAAATAGTGATATACGTGGTGCATTATAAAAAGATTTAAGTGATTTTGAAGGGATGGTTGATGATCCTGAAGAAGTAGGTAGTGATATTGATGTAAATTATCAGCCAGATTCCTAGCTATGGTTAGGCTATATATTCTTAGCTAAACACTATGTACCGAAATCTGTTTTTTGCCCATAACTTATTTATTTACAAACCTACCTCCTTTATTATATTTTTGGAATCCTCATAAAATTCTGAACAAAGTGGCTATTTTAAAATATTTGTAGACCTATAAATTATAAATAGATATAGGCCTAGGCTATTTATAAATATCTATTATTAATCAATATTTTCGATTCAATAGTTTCAATCGATATTAGCATAGCCCAGTTAAAAAACTGTACCCCGATATATCATGTGGTTAACTAGGTTAACCTAACCTAACTAACCGAACAATATATTGATCAATATTTTCATTCAGTTGTTATTGACAACAGATACAGCAGTATACTGTTAAGTATATCTACCAAAATTGAATAGTTAGGTCAAGGTACAGTTGTCTATAGCCTATAAATATAATAAGTATGTACCGGTAATACATCTAGCCATTGATGATTGTTACTGAGTCAATTTTAAACATTCATTGCAACAGTAGAAGACTAATAATGAAGTTTACCCTTCCAATGTATTCTTGTTGGGTATCAAGTTAATGGAAATAGAAGTAGAAAGATAATATTTATTTATATTAGCCTGTTATATTTTAAGTAATATATATTTTTCTAGTTGTTTTAGGAGGTGGTCCCAGTAAGGAACCAAAAGAAGATCCAAATATTGACAGAGTAATTTCCCTCATTAAAACTAATGTAGAAGGTTTCAGCAAAATCTATGACTTAGACTCTCTATTCAAACTTTAGGTAGGTATTACTTTAAACCCAGATTTACAATACCACCATACCAAGTATAGCTGTATGTCATAACTTAACCTCACTTCACAGAGAAGTGTATTGTTAGAGCATATAGTAAAAATGTTGTCAGGGTTAATATTTTTTAAATGCACATCAGTTTTTTTTTAATTTTATTACATAGGCCCTACTATAATTTATTTTGTCATTTAAGATTAAAACTTGAAAAAAAACATTTAAAACTTAAATAAATTAATATAGATAGTAATTTATTTACACATGAGTGAGACATTTTTTTCCTCCAGACAACGACTCAACTGCTGAAAATGGAAACTTTGAATGAGCTCGAGATATGTCAAGATGAGTATAACTATGCTTTGGAATCTGAGGTAAGTTTAAGTTAAAAATTTTAGTTGGATGATTTCTCTCTAAACATCTATCCTAGTTTAAATCTTAACATCAATTTTGTATTCTTTTATTTTCAAAAGTCAACATGTAGTTTTGTATGCCAAGAATATAAAATGAGTAAGTTTTAAGTTGTTTGATTATTTGTTTGTTTAGGTTAAAGTTTTTCTGTTGTAGTTTTGGCCTTCAGCTACATGTTGTGCAGGCTTTGAATAGACTTTGGCTGACAAAAAAACAAGTATTAAGTACCTTCTGTGCATTGGTATTACTTTTTTTCACCAATTTTTTTCAAGGCACTAGACCCATTTCTGAGGCTGGATTTGTTTAGAGTTTAGTTGGATCTTTGGCAAAGCTTTTGTGTAGTCACACCACAAATTTTTCTGGTTAGGCCAGATATTACCCAAAAAACTGCCTTTTGAAACTCACTTTTGTGTGGGCTATGGTCCATTTGTTTTTGGTCCCTGTTAACTTATTATTAAGCCTAAGGCCTAGTTTTTGCTCATTTTTGTGTTGTTATTGAGGCCTACAACTTGTTTAATGTAAATTTTGTCCCTCTGACCTATTTAATAATTGTGTTTTTTATTACCTATTTATTGTTGTAGGCCATGTTACTCAGCCTAATTCTTTTATAGTTAAGTAATGGCACCTTCTGAGGGCCAAACTTGGTCATAATTATTTAGTATTAGTGTTTTTACATGTCCCCTGCCAGTTTCTCAAAATTTAGTTTATTATAGTTGAGTTATTTAAATGTTTTTAGTTATGTAGCGCATTTTTGAAAACTGAGTGATTTTAGGTAGTCAACTCCCTACTTGGATTCAGGTTTTTTTTTAGGCATGGTTTTGTCTTTTAAAAGATGTGGGCACTTATACCACAGCTTTTAAAAGCAATTTCAACAAATTTGGTTGCTAATAACCCGAGTTATTATTAATTTTACCTGATATTGTACCTCCAGCCAAAGAATTTTAGTAGTAATGAGTTTTTTGATTTTTGAAGAATTTATTGTAATATTTATGTATTTGTTTTATGTTTAATTAATGTATTTTATCCTTCTGGACCAGATAATTCATATATTTTTATGTCAACTTAAATTTTTCATGAAAATGTTTGCCAGAATGCGTTGTTAAAATTTGTAAGTTTCAAGAGTTTATTTATTGTTATGTCTTTAAAGCTTTATTCAACTGAATTAATTTATTTCAATCATTTTCTTATTATAACATTTAAAAACTGTTTAAAAAAATGGAAAACCTATTTAAAAGAAAAATAATTTTAATAAAATTGTTTTTCAATATTTTTGTTCATTGTATGAGTGGTGTGGAAATTTTTTTTTTAATTTATTGCTTGAAAAACTGGGTAGGCCTAATATTACATTCAAATGATGTCTAAGTTATAAATTATTGCTAGTTAGATCTGGAACTTGTTTAAAAGGTTCCAAATGTGAGGCTTTAACAACTACTATCCTCAGAGAGGATCACCCGAAGGGACACTCCATCTTCTGCCTCCTTGGGCTGCCAACGACCCAGCTTTTCCAGGGACCACTAAGCCACCATCGCCTACCACCAGGAAGGATAATGATTATGCCAACTTTATTACCGTAAGTTTTATTTTAGTCATTTTAAAAACATATTTTTAATTTACTTGGAAATATTCCTGAAATGAAAGAAGAGTTGATTAAATGAGCCAATGGTTTAGCTAAAACATCTTTAGTACTTTTTAAAACAGGCATAGGAATTTCATCAAAACCACAGGTAAACTTGTTTTCAAAAGAATAAAGAATCTTGTCTACTTCAGCTTCATCAACTGGCTTTAAATAAAATTTTACTGAATTTGCAGGATTTGAGATTGCACCAAGAGCTCCCGAAGACAAGTCCCCAATCCTATCCACCAAACTTACAAAATGATCATTAAATATTTCACATATATCATCGGGTTCAGTGTATTCAAAGTTGCCAATTTTTAATTGGATTTCATTTTCACGTACTCGGTTTCTGTTTAGTTCCCTATTAATAATCTTCCAAGTAGTTTTTGAGACATTACTGGTTTTTCTTATATTGCTTTCAATTGGGCTGCGTAGCTTTTTTTCAGGTCTTTTAGCTTTTTTATTAAAAACTTATCCTTATTTACCCTAATTTCTCAGCTTAATAGTATTATTTCATCTTTAGCTAACTTAAGTTCCGGAGTTATCCAATTTTTTGATTTTGAACAGGCATGAGACTTTAACTTAGGAAAGCAACTATCAAAATAAAACATAAGGATATTAAAAAATACATCATATTTTTCCTCTACAGTCGCTAAATATAAATCAGTCCATGTTTCCTGTGCAAGATAATTTTTGAATTTGTTTATATTTTCAGGAAGGAATTTTCTACTAGATTTAATAGTAGGTTTGTTAAACTTTTGTTTAGAAGAGATGTCCCGAATTTCCAAAAATTGAGTGTCATGATCAGAGAGCTCAGTGATCAGGCCTGATACTAAAAGATTGTTTTTAGGAATTGTAGTAAATATATTATCAATACCACTTTCACCCTCTAATGTTATTCTAGTAGGAAAGTCTATCAAATATCAAATAATGCATATTATATTCATTTAAAATATTATTGAATATCTGATAGTCCTTGGAAAACTTAAGAACGTTAATATTAATGTCTCCAGCCACAATTACTCTTTCATATTTATCAAAAATAAGGCCTAACAAACTATCTAATTTTTCAAGAAAAATATTTTCGTATACAGACCCTGGAGTTCTATACAAACCAACCAATAAAAATATGAAATCATTAACTCTCACCTCAATCATACAACATTCAAAATACTTATCCTTAACCAAATTTTCATTTAGAGGAATTTTTTCTTGAAAACGATACATTAATTTGATAATTTTTTATGTTAACCCTAGTGATTTCATCTGGTTTCAAATCATGCTCAGTTAGTATTATTACATCTGGATTTAATTCATCTATGGTTATTTCTAGTTACTCAATTCTTGATTCTAAATGTTGTATGTTTTGGTGGAAAATTTTGAATTTTGAATTTTTAATTAGTCCTATCTTTTTATTTGTGGTGTCTTGTCCAGTAAGTTTAAAGAAGAATCAAGTGGATTTATTACATAATTGTCCTTATCACTATTGCTACTTTCTATTACATTATTATTTAAACTTTCACTGCTCTGCTTTTTTAAAACACCTTCCGGTATCTTGATCACTTCACTAAATAAAAGATGACCTGGAACTGTTGGTGGGCTGCTGGTGCTGATGGTAGGGTTGTTGGGAGTTATCGGCTGGGGTTGAGGTCTGCTACGTGTTGAGGACACGGCACTCACACTCATACTCTTGGTGGATGCGGTTGTTGGTTGAGGCTGAAACATCTCTTTTTGCGCTGTGTCTGTGATGGTCACACCATTGGACTGGTTCTCTCTATGCAGCTCTTGTAGTGTTGTGTCACTATTAAGCATCTCTACCAACAAACTTGCAGCTGGTGGAGTAGTGGTAGTGGTTAATGTAGTTGAGGATGACATGGGGGTTGAGGTGGCTGTGCTTAGCATGGCTTTGGCTGGTGGAGGTGAGGCTGAAGTATTTATATTTTGCATGCTTGATGAAGTTGTCAAAGTCATACTTGTTTGCTTTTCATATTCTTTAGCTATTGCAGCTCTCAAATCCTGTAGAAAACTACTGTAAGAAAGTCCATTAAAAAGAGTTCTTCGTGATTGTTGATAGTAGGCAACTATTGTGACAAAAGCTTTAGTTTTCTTCTGAAATTTAACTATATTTAAAGCAAAGAGATCTAGGGATATTTTGTCTCTCACACAGCCCATGGGGGAACATATCAGTCTTTTTAGTGATCTCTTGCTAAAATCCTCTGCAAGTTCTTCAAATGCAGCATTGTATTCTTCCTTTGTAGGTTTACAATTATAAAAAGGCTTAGTAACTAGACTGTACACCGAGGGTCCTTTGTTTGGCTTTTGAAATGTCAGACATTTACTACAATAGTCTTTGTAGGATGGCTTTCCAAATCTTTCCTTAAATTTCATTGCCACTCCTGCAGTCATGCTTCAGCTACAATCTAGATCTCCTGATATACAGTGGGAAAAACCTATTTCTTCACAGTGGCTAAAATCATCAAAAACTTGTTTCATATTTGCCTCAATAACCTTAATTTCTTTTGGGGACTGTTAAGCATGACTAGGATGGGTCTCCTGAATTTTTTTAATTGTTTTATAAATTTCTTCACAGAGAACTTGTTTGCCTTGTTTATTAAGGTGTTGACCGTGCTGGGTAAAGTGGAACCTTTTAAACCTTTTGCAGTTTACTAAGTTGACTTCTTTGGTATTCAGATTGAAATTTACTCTTCGAACTGACTTGTTTATTATATGTTGAGGCGGAAGGTCAAACCTGGGGAACAGAGGAACTATTGCAATGTTGGTGTGGTCATTTAAAGCCGTATATTCTTGAAAAACACTTGGCATCCTTTCAGCTGGGTCGACATTTTCATTAAGCATTTGTTCTACACTATTTGAGCCTGCGATAATGATAAGCACATCTTCATTCTTCAAATCTTTAACATACTTTTCAGTATTTTTTAACACATATCCAAGCGGCGCCCCTGGGGATGTGGTAACATGTACGTTGTTGTTTGATGGTAAACTATTTATAAGAATTTGATGTAGGTTCTTCCCATGACTGTCAGCATATATACAAACCCTTACTTCTTCGGCATTCTGAATATTCTGTACAACATGTTTTAATGAAGAATTCTTCTGTTGCTTAGTTTTACTTACTTTGGTGCTTTTGTCAGTTTTTTTGTCTTTTGCATCCTTAGCATGTCTCACACATGAAGATGGTGTAGAACTCATCTTATCCTCTCCTGTTTGTTTGGAAACCGGCATAGAACTACATTCTTCACTGCTTAGCAAATCAAACATATTTGATGTTGTAAAAGGTTTATCCTGCGTGGCAGTAGTGTTGGTTTGTTTTGCATTTGTATTTACTTTGTTTTTCCTTGATACTTCCCTCCACTGATTGACATTTTTGGATGTACAAAAATTGCTATTTAATGTTCTATGTGCATCATTAGTACTCGTTGGTAAGTTATTCTCAGTAGAGTGTTGCTTTTGTTGCCTCAACAAAGCTTTTATAGTGTTGTAGTATGAATTAACGGAAAAATCTTCATTAAACATTCTGTGATTAAATTTAAACAACTTATTTTCAACCATATTGCACACAATCTCAGTGTTATGTATAACAAAAACACCACACTCGACACCTCCCTTCTGTTGTAGACACTTCGCTTCTATAACATGACAATTGTCGAGCAGTTTGAGGCCCTGGGAAAGCTTGGAGGCGAGTTGGATAGCATGATTATGGTTGACTCCAGTTACAGAATCATAGTGGTAAAAATTGGCTGTAGAACTGCAGTACACCAGAAGTGACCAGTGACTACCTCCACTGTGTTGTTTCCCATCATTGTTTACCACTGATATGATGTAGTCATAATTGTGTAGGTTAAGATTGCTGCAAACTTGGTGAATTGTAATTGAGTCATCTTCCACCTTCATAAGTTGACTAACGGACGGCGGTAGAAGAAAAACATTCCCTGGGTGAGGTTGACTGTCAAACCATGATTTTATCTCTTCATCTCCCAACATATACCACAAAGCTGTTATGTCGGTTCTGTCACCTGCATTTACTCTACTGTAAGTTCCGTTATAGTCTTCTATGGTCGATTCTAGATCATTTAGTTTTCTTTTAAGCATCTTGACATCATTCTCAAGAGCCAATTTGTCCTTAGTTAATAGGTCAATCTTAGACAATCCTTCCAATTTATCTTTTTCTAGTTGAAGTATTAGGTTGTCTTTAAAACTGTTGTCTTTCTGCGTCTTGCTTTCAATAGAGCTTATGAGCTTTGTCACTTCAATTTTCTTAATATTATTCTGTTCAGTTAAGCTCAAAATTTCTTGTTGTAGTTTATTTATCTTGTCTTCAAGCTCCCATTCACGCTGGCTTTTTGAATTCCTTAAGTCATGAATAGTTTGTTTTAGAATGTAATTTTCAGCTAACAATATATTCCCTGCTTCTGCTGCTAGACTTAGTGATGTCTCTATATCCTCTTCTTCTTTAAAGTTATTTAGTTTCTCCTTTAAATCACCAATTTGTTTGTTAGTACTTTTCTTGGCACAGAAAATTCGAAAATTCCTGAAAATTCGAATCAGGATGTAAAGAAAGCAAAAAGGTATAATAGATTAAAATGCATTAAATTAAAATAACATAAAACATGAAAAGGTCCTAATTAAGTATGCTAGCTAACTTTCGTAACAAAGTTATACAGTCGTGTCGATTATCATGCAAGCGTAGATGTAACGACGAAGTTATTTCGAAGACGGCATTTGAACGAATAATCCTGTCTTATTTTGAAGACGGCATATGAACGAATAATCCTGTCTTTTAGTAAAATCCTTCGTTCCTGCCTGCTCGAGGCTTACGCGCTCAAGCGGCGAACTTTAGTACTACTAGATAACAGCTGATTGAATTCACTTGTTAAGCTGGTCTAGTTTCGTCTGTCATCTGTCAACAAAACACCAGTTTGGGGGTTATGTCGTCGTCAGCGTTAAATACTCTTAAAGTCAGTCGGTTCAACTTCATTTGGTAAAGTGGAGTGCTAATATGGATAAATATGTATGGTGAACGTGTGTTTGTACTTCACTGTGATTAAAAATAGGCCTACATTCTTTGGCCCATAGCCCAAGCTATGGCCAACACATAGGCCTAGGAGTAGGCTATTGTGGATAAAAATTGGGTAAGTTCTGGTGTTCATTTATTCGCAGTACGTTTTTATCCCCCTTAAAATTTGGTACCTTACATGATAACAGATAGGCTTATCAATTCACTCGTGTATATTGCAGTAGGAAGTAAACTAAATCAGATAATAAAGGAAAGACATGGTCTCTGAATTGTCATCTGTGTTATCAAAAGTTGATATTGGACTAATTGTAGTGACAGAGGAGTGTATTGAAAATATAATGGGATTTATAATTAAGTTTTCCATTCAAAATTATTGACAATAATAACCAATTTATATGCTGGATATAAATGATGGTCTCAAAATGAAAGAAAATATATTAAATACTTTGAGGAGTTTAAAATATATAAATACACAAAATTAAGGACAGCACAAAATTTTTAAGTGAAACACTCAATTAATTATGAATCCCATTATATTTTCAACACTCTTCTCAGTCACTACAATAGTCCAATATCAGCTGTTAAAAACACAGACAACAATCCAGAGACCATGTCTTTCCTTTATTATCTGATTCAGTTTACTTCCAGTCCTATAATATACACATGTGAATTGATAGACTTATCTGTAATCATTACGTGTTTTTGTGTTAAATGTTTGTAACATATTCTGATGACACCTCCAGAAGTGGATCTTTTGTACTATAAATCCTAACAATGGTGGAGTTAAAGAACTGCCAAAACATATGTAGCAAGTAAAATTCAACACTGGTATATTAAGGATTGTCTGACAAGGTGCATTTTTACCATTCTTAGAAACAATCTTAATTACAAACCACATAATGTTGTTGGTGTTGATAGTGAGCTACTTAGAAACACTTGTTCAGGCTGCTTATAAAAAATTATACATTAATTATGACAGCTAGCAAAAATATATCCCCCCAAAAATCCCCTAAAAAAGTCCCCCACAAATATTATTGTGGTATCATATGAACATAAAAAATATAACTGTCCATAATAATGATAGTCAGGGATTACCCTAGTGTAAAAACATCATCCATTTAAATTCATACATATATGTCCATTAGCACAATAACTCAAACAAAAATTATCCAATTTTGATGAAATTTGGTGTAAACATACATTTATTTGAACAAGTCCATGAACCAGCATAATCTAACCATGGAAACAAGGATTTATTTATAAGGTAAAAATTGTTTTTCTTGTTTTTGACCCTCAAAACTTAAATTTTCTCAAATTTTCTCTAGACTATTTTAAAGAGCTAAAAAGAAAATAAATAATTTAGTATATTTTCTGTATGATTTTTAGTTATGGAAAAAATTGTAAATTAAAAATTATAATGTTATTCATATGAAGAATGAATAAACTGTTGTACTTTGTTTATTTATAGATATATATGGATTAAACTTGGTAAATTTATTTACTTTGTACTAAGCTATTAATGTTTTATTAAAACCACACTTTTTACCCTCCCTTTAGGTAGTAAACCTAGGTACTTGTTAAACCTAATGTTGTTTAAATAGATTGAATTAAAAATCAAATCAGGCAAATGGAAATTCGCTTAGTCTGTAGATTTGCTATAGCAGGGGTATATTATTATTGTAAATAATAATTTGATAAAGGTTTTTATGTTTATACATTTAACATTGTATAACTTAATTTAAATGTTGTTAAGAATTTAAACTTTCGAAATAATTGCTGGGTAACAGCTAGTTATAATTATTTGTAAACATTAGCCCACTTAAAAACTTTAAAGATAGAGCCCTTTTGACAGATTTGTACCAAGCTCACTAGCTCACACAAACTATCCTAATCCTATATTAAAATTAATAATATAAATTATTATAAAACGTACCTTCAATATTGATGTATGGCACAGACACTAGGGATAACTAGACACAACAATATGGCACAATAACAATAGGCACTCAATATGTAGAAACTCACTATATAACAACCACTAGTTAAATATTGCTATCCTCAAGACATAGGGGCTTTAAATAGTATTCTCCCACTCATTTAAAATTGAATTGCTTCCCCCTCTCTTAATAACAATGCATGCCTTACCAACCTCTGATGTATTCAATTATTCTGTTAAAAAGTTTTTATCTTATAATATCTCAATTAAAATTTATCAAATTTTGATGAAGTTTGTCATAAACATATTTACCTACATTTATCTAAACAAGTTATATTTTATATATTTATAAAAGAGGAAGTTTGTATATATATGTTTGAACGTTATGAACTCCAAAACCGCTTGACAGATTGTAATGAAACTTTCAGGCATTATTAAGCATTATTCAAGGATGGTTTGTGTGATGTTTGGTGCAGATCCATCAAAAGGGCTCCGCCTCAGTGGCTCTGGAGTTTCCCATGTTAACCTTATGAGCACTCATATTTAAATGGAATTAAAGAATCTTAACAGCTGTTTCAACTAAAAAATTTGATTCTGTGATGATCAATAACATTAAAAGGTTATAAAATGTACCAACAGGATGCAACACTATTGATTGTCTAAATTTTTAACATCATTAGCTATAATAAAATAGGAAGTTTGTTTGATAAATAATTTTTGATAGAGTGTGAATAAGGAGTTTTAATTTTTAAGTGCATATCTTATTGACTTTCTTTTTCTCAAATCTTTATAAAAATCAATTTTTGTTTGTATGGTTTATTTCCCAAAAAATAATGTCTGGGAAACGAAAGTTTACAGTTAATATTTGTAAGTTAATACTTTTAGTGATCAGAGGAGATGAAGTGTTTTTATTTACTTCACTCTCCCTTTTGAGGAACTGGGACTACTTCTTAATCTTATTCTATATGACAGTGACGGGAATAATTACCTCAATTCCAGGGAATACTTCTATTAAATGTCGAAGCCGTTTGCCTTTAATAGGTTGTAGCTTCACAACTATTCAAATTTGTTTTCGAGGTTTATCGGAATAGTGTAAATTATATGCCAAGTTTAGTGATGAACATGTTGATGAACATGAAAAGACTCAAATTGACACAATTCCTGTCTAGCAGGCACTTCAACATTTTAGAGCCACAAAAAAGCCTGTTTCTCCCAATCGTTAGTCGATTCCAGAATCTTAACAAAATACAATAAGGCGTAAACGACATAGCAAGTGCACAGACAAACAAAGGAAAAACCAGGTGAAGAACATAAACAAAAGGTATTATAAATTAACTCATCCTGAAATATATTTTCCAAAGATTCAATGGATGGTGAAACATCTATCAATAATGACATATAATCCGAAAATAGAATATGAAGGAAATAGCTTGGTGGTGATAGCTACCATGACGTTCAAATAATGTAGGCCTAAGTACTGCGAGGCCTTAAAATGGAAAGAAGAAACACAGGGCATGTGCAGCAATGGGGGTAAAGTTCAACTACTGTACTATCTTTGCAGCACCTACCTGAACCTTTATGCAGTTTGGTCATGGAAAACCACCCTGAGCATACACATTTTATGGACCGGGTGAGACATTATAATAGCTGCTTTAATATAGAGCAAAAAAGATTTATAATATCTACTTAACAATTTTTTGCTGATTTCAAGATGTTATATCATTCTTGTATCGCTTCTACAACAAACCTAAGATTAGTAAAACATGTTGTATCGCTTAATTAATGTTTATACCTGTTCTATAATATTATGGCTGTACTATAAACATTACATACTATGGCAGGTCAATACAGTGTGTAGTTAGCATAATTAAAAGTCTAACTGTAGACGTTATACTAGGTTTAAACTCTTTACATCAATTAGTCCCAAGTATATAAAACTTTTTTAGACTGTTAAAAGTCCAGAATACAACACAAAGCAACAAACTTAATAGTTTCAATTGAAGAACTTAAAAATGAACAAAACAAGAAATTAGAAAAAAATAGACTTTTTATCAAGGTTCCTGGTCAGACTACCGTTATCTCTTATGTCATTCAGCCTAAATTAGATATTGTGCAGGTTAAATAAATGTACTATTCTCCCCGTGATGACATAAATATTGCATGGTTAGATCAATAAGAGTACCTGGGGACTGAGCTTTACTCGGGAAAAATCATTAGTTTACTCTGAAAACAGTCTTTGTATTGCAGATACATGGATCTATTTCCTACACTCCACACTGCTAGCCTTTACTAATTCTTTCACAATTTCCTGTGTTGTGGACATGTTTCCATCCCTTCTCATAGAATTTCAGTATTGTAGATACTTATTCTAACTACTACAAACTGTTTCCAGTTCCCACACTCTGGACTGCTCACCTTTTCTACTTCCTTCACCCCTTCCTAAGTCACAGACCTGTTTCCCTCTTATTCTATAGCATTTTAGGATTACAGATACATTAATCCATTCCCACACTCAATACTGTTCACCTTTACTACTTCCTTCACCACCCCCTACGTCTTGGACCTGTTTCCCTCTAGTTCTCTCTGTTTCCCATAGCATTTTAGGATTGCAGATACATTAATATAATTGCCAAAGACAATTCCCACACTCTGCACTGCTAGCCTTACTACTTGCTTTGTCATTTCCTTTGTCATAGACCTGTTTTACTCCCTTCCCATAACATTTTTAGATTATAGATACCTTAATCTAATCCTCATAAATAGTTCCCACACTATGGACTGCTCGCCTTTACTATTTCCTTCATCACTTCCTACGTCACAGACCTGTTTCCTTCCCTTCCTATAGCATTTAAGGATTGCAGATACCATAATCTAATCATCATAAACAGATCCCACACTCTACACTGCTACCCTTAACTACACTGTATAGAGTAATCTTCAGTATAATCTTTACTCAATAGTAACAACTGATGTTTTTCCTTTTGTACTGTATTTTTAATTTGCTAGTTACTGTGAATAGACAACTTACAAGTTTTTTGTTTACTATTGCCTTGTTATTTATTCAGCCAAGATGGTAGCTTAGCAACTCATAAGACTAATATTAACAAATATGACTTTCAGTTTCATTTTTTTACATAATTAGATTTTTGTTGGCAGTTTTTAACTATAGTAAACTTGTTTTTAGGCCAGGAATAAACTATATTCAACATTTAAAGAAAATCATTGGAGTCATTTTCAAGATCTTGGTACAAGCAAGTAAGTAAGCAAGTATACATACATATAAGTAAACATTGCTTGTATTAAAGTATAGGATAATCAAAAACTATCTGTAAGTTCATAGAGTACTCTCTTATTACTTAAGAAACCTTCAGGTAAATATCATATCATTTAGGACCTTAGAATTGTAAATAAATATATAATTTCTGACACTTATCTAATTCTCTACATACACTGAATAATTAAAAAAAATAATTTATTGAAGTCTTGCTAGTTCAATTAAAAAAAGCTATATTACATGATAATCATTTCATGGAAATAGATTGAACTTTATATGAAGATGAATTTAGTGAGACAGTTCTTGAGTTCTATTATTTTAACCTTGAAAACAGTTAACTGTAATTGGTCAGACTGGGTCTCTGTCCTTAAACAGAACAGTTGACCTAACTAACATATGACTCAAGTTAGTTGAAGCCTAACGTCATCAATTGTCTACAATTGAAGCATCATGTGGTCAATTGAAGCATCACTTAGAGATGGGAATTATCGTTCACTTGGTGGAGTCGTTCACTCCGGAGTTATTGAGCTATCGGAACTAGTTCCGCGGAGTAGTTCCAACTCCGTTTAGAAGAACGCTGAACACTGGACTTTCGGAGTGAGGAGCGCTTCCACTCACTCACCATCCATTTTGGTTCAGAACTAGATAGTTCCAGTCCATCGTTCCTCTTCGCATCACCTCTGGATGATAGTTCCTGGTTCCATTCCAGTAATCGTTATTAAACAAGGAATAAATAAATAATGATTAAGCTAGGCTAGGATGATAGGACCATAGTTAGTGGAGTGAGGAATGACGAAACAGTAGGGCAGTGAGTGAGTCGTTCCAGTCGTATTCTTGTGATGCTTGGTGTTCTGCTGCTCCCCTCTCACCTCTCATTAGTCGATTACTGTATATTTTAGCCTACATTCATTTTAAACAGATTTTTTTTTTAATTTCAAATATTTATTTACTACAACAATCTCTAATTTATTACATAATGTATCTTAACCAATGACGGTCTCTTGACTATCTTTAGTTCCTAGAGGAACTAACTCCGATGCAAGAGCTGGAGTTGGACTTGTCGTTCCAGAGTCAGAGTAGTTCTTTCGGAGTAGTTCGTTCCGGAGTTACTCACCTCTGATCACATCATCAGTCCACTAGAAAACTCCAAACCAGATGGTAAGTTTTAGACCTAGATATTTTATAATGTATAGTTTATATTTTTTAAATAAACCTAAAAATTTTTATACATATAAATCTTTAATTAAAGCCAGACTCCTTTGATAAGTTAAACTGCTAATCTTTTTTTAAGTTCAACTTCTTTTAATTGTACAGAATTATAGATAACTAGTGTACATGTTGCTCGAATTCGAGCAATTGCAAAGTATTACAGGAGTTATTTCAAAACGAATAACAGTCATATTTACAATGAGTTTAAAAGAGTCAACTCAAAGATTACTGGCATGTAACTCAGAACACGATTATCTTCGTTATTGATAAACCTAAAGAATTCCGGCTGGATTTCTTCTTCTCAAAATGCCTTGATGTACAGGCAACACAGGTCATTGATAGATGCCCAATTGAAAACGAAAAGTCGTTTTGGATTAGTGTTAGGGTTCATTTGTAACCTAATAGTTGAGATTTGTAGTCAGGTGCTGACTGTGATGAGTTAAGCCTATTACGCGCCACTGTTCTGTAGCTGCAGTCGTTATCACGATTATGCCTCCTGTCTACGTTTCGTTGTTGTCGCGTCAGAGGCATTTAAAAGAAAAAAAAAACAACAAATAAACAAATTATAGCTACACAAAATAACGATAAATTCAGAAATTTAAGTTACAATCGTGCTAACACGACCCGTCGTAGCGGCACAAAACGACAATAAATATACAAATTTAAGATACAACCATACTAACACGATCCGTCTTGGGGGTTATGTTTATACAAACTCAAATAATAAATATTGAATTGAAAAATAAATGAACAACAATTAAATTATACAGCTGATCAAAATGTAAACAATTATGTTCTTTATAAAGATAACATGGGAACTTTCAAAGCCACTTGGGCAGAGTCCAAGGGACTTTTTCAAAAATGTAAGGCCAGTTTGCAAATCTACGCAACATGCTCTTTCCAATGAGACGTCAACAGATAAAATCGGTTAAGTAATGGCGGAGGAGTTTAACCGACAAAATTTCATGTAGCGTATTAATTATATAGATTCTAACACTATAAATAATTCTTAGTCTTTCTTAGATGACTATAGTTTCAGGAAATATCTTCTGTCTTATAATATTACATTTGGATTACTCATTTGCCAGTAAATTCTGCAATGTAATTGGATTTTAAAAATAAATTGAAGTTTTAGCTTTTAATTATTGTTTAAATAATATGGGATTACTGTAGTAAGTTTTAAATGCAACAATTTCAATGTCAATGACTACATTCTTTATATAGGAGTTCATTAAGTTGTATACAATTAAGCCTTAAATAACAATGACTTATCTTTGTTTATTTTATCTTGACTTATCTTTACCTTGTATGTTTGTAGATCTGGGTGTAATTTCTATACACTTTTTCATCGACAAGGAGGAACACTTCAATTCTTACCTAGGCAGCATAGAGAAGATACAGCTCGTACAGGTTACCTGAGGTTTTGATGGTGTACAGAGTCTATGACAGACCTCAACATCCTGTCGACTAACCAGATTCATCCGTAAGTAATTTCTATTTAAATTTGGTAATAGTAATTGATTAATATAACATGATATCTTCTACATACAACATCAGAATACAGATATTGAATACATTCAATACATTAAAATACATTTGATACAAATATCAATACAAGGACCGCAAAATATCATTATTTTGTATCAATATGTGGGACATGTATTTTCAACTATGTTTTGCAAATAACCTCAAAACTAGGACCACCATTAATGGAAGTGGGGACCCTCATTATCCATATTATACTATTTAATGTGTAAGTAGCATACCCACCCAGGGACATATTTCCAAATAGGCGGACTAAGCGCCTGCCTAGGGCAGCAAATTTTAGGGACGGCAAAACTTTGAGGGTAAAAAAATAAAAAAACAAAGTTTTAATCTTAAAAAAAATTTAGCAAATAATCTTGGGAACAGCAAAATAGCCATTTCAAATATTTATTTAGTTTATCACACAGCTGTGTAGAGTTGTCCGTGCTGCCCTATTGGTCTGGTGGACATGCTTGCCGTGGGAGCAGGTTGCCATGCCGGCCACTATGTAGTGATAAACGTAGAAAACACTCCCTTCTGTTCGACTAAATAATATAAGATTTTGACTTACTTCATACACCACTACGCAGCGGCAGCACTATAGCTGAAAGATTCTTTTGCTAGGTTAAAATCAAGAAGGAAAGTGTGAACTAAATACTTACCACTGTACCAAACTTAACTAACTTAAAATTATTTAATATTCTTTCAGTAAAAGTACGTAATTTTTCTTTGCGATTCATGTGTTTTTTGTAAGAAAAAAATAGTTTAAGAATACATATTTCTTTCATTTCAAATCAAAGCCAATAGCACGTCTCTCAAGTGGATCTGACTAATAGTGTTCAATGAAAAGCATAATAAGAACCATTGTATACAGATGATTTTGTGTGCCGTTTAAAGCTGTAAAATGGGATTGTAAAAATACTGATTAGATAAAAAAAAATGGTGCCTTCTATGTAGGCCTATCCAAGTCAGAATGTTTTGCAAAAAATCGGCACAAAAAACATCCGTTAAAAGGGGTTGAAATAGTATATTTCATACCTAGGGCTGAAAATGAGGTTTCGCTGGCTTGAGATAGTTTTTAGGTTTGAGACGAAGTCAACCTAAAACGATCAAGAGCTGCAAAACCATTTCGGTCCATGGTATGAACACCATTTTCCACACTATACCTTAATAGCACGAGCTTAATTCACCACAATAATGATGCACACTGATAGTCAACACAACTAGAACTTTAAAGGTTATGTGAAGAAATAATTTGAGGAATCAACAAAAATTAAAATAAATAGTTGCTAGGCAGCGGTGACAATAAAACAATTCTATTGCAATGCTATGGATACTGATTGTGTATTTAATATGCATTCATGTTTAAAAAAGTAAGTGATCAGCTGATTTTGTGGCCCTAGGGATGTAAGAACCGGCTCGGTCCCCAAATGATGATGACAGCTGGCATGGCCAGCAAAATATAACTTTCAGCCACCAATTAACACATATAAAACAGCTAAAAACATCATAGTGTGGTGAAAAGTCATTAAATTTGTTGATGCCGCATGCAATATTACCGATTATTTTACCACAAAACCAGCTGACAGGGCATGTATTGGCCATTGGGGTGATATTAGTGAGGTCGGGGAGTGCGTTTAAAAGTGGGAGCGGGAGGGGCGGCGGCAAACTTTGTTGCCTAGAGGCAGCAGATATTTAAATACATCCCTGTACCCACCATCATTATTAGTACTTTTTTGTTCAATTAATTATCCCTGCATAAAAACTAGAAAAACAATAACAAAATGATTTCCAATTTTAAGTGTTTACTGGAATTTGAAGGTTATATATGTATGTTTGATATAAATAAAAAGACACAGGAAGGAAATGGCTTTTCTAAGGTAAGATTACAAACACTAACCCTTTTTACAAGCTTGTAAGTAACATAATATTTGTCTATGCAGCTTGTATATTTAAGATATATAAATAAAAAAAAATAAAAATAAACAATATGATATTTTGTTTGATACAGATAAAAATCAATACATGAGGATATTATATGATACACATATCAATACACCACATTCTGATATGTATCAATACTGCATATTGATACATTGACCTGTATCACACATCACTACTGCATACAGTAAACACAGAGGATATGTGTCTACTCTAGTAACCAGATGTGGATTAGGTGTCCAGTATTGATATCACCGGGTTGTGGGGTCCCAAAATGCCATTACCACAATGATATGATGATTGGCCAGCTTTGTTTGTGGTGTAGTGGATAGAGTGATTGGCTGATATCCAAGAGGTCCCTGGTTCGAAACACATTGGTTACTTTAACTTTTTGTCACAGATTTTATTTCAAATGTAATTTCTTCTGAACTGTACATCTTTTGTTAGAATTTTTGGCATTTATAATTTTATGTTATGAAGAGAATTGAACCTTCATTTGATTTTTTTCATTATCAGCAAGTTTGGTTGGTTAGGTTAGGTTATGACAGTAACTGCTGGACACCTAATCCACGTCCTGTTACTGGATGTGTATCCTCTGTATACAGTAAAACTGCAGCATTAATCATTTATAGTACTTGATTAGGGATAATGTTAGATTTTTTAGTTATGTTAAAGTTGAAATATGTTATTTTCAAGATTAAAGAAATGATTCAAAATTAAATAAAAATCTTCTTTGTTTTGATTTTATACTTTTTTATAAATTTACTTATTTTATTAAAAAAAATTACAATAAACTGGGTAGGGGGGATTTAAAAGTTTTAATCAAGAACTAAGTTTATCTCAACATACCATTTTTGTCTTTTCTTATTTGATGATAGACAATTTCCACTACTACTGTATTTCACTCACTCTTTTTTATTATCCCACCTAATCATTTACTTGTGATGTTATTACAGGAAACTTTCGAGTCAGTGAGTTACTATGGCTGAACGTTGGCTGAACATCGTAGTTCTACTGATAGAGATTACTAAATAGATAAGTATTACAATCATGTGATGAAAATTTTTATATTGAGTAGATATTATTAGGAATTTATTGTTTTAATCACAGAATATATATAGCCTACTGTCTGATATAGATTAATCCTTGAACTAAAATATAAAATTATAGTTGAGATTGTCCAGGGTCAGGTGTTAACTACAGTAAACTTATTTCATGCCACTGTCATTATCACGATTACATGTCTTCTCTATATTTTGTTATCATCGGAGACATTTAAAAGAAAAAATAAACAATAAATAAACAAATCATAGCTACACAAAACAACAACAAATGCACAAATTTAAGTTACAATCATTGAAAATAACAGTAATTAAACACTTGAGATCCAGTGCTTGGTCTATCATATCAATGCCGTTTGTCATTTACAGTGATTCTCAGACAGATGCCTAGTGTCATGTACAACTTAAACTTATAGTGAAGTACCAATTATTGGGAAACTATATTTTGAGTTAGTACATGCCTAGAAGACCAGGGTCCCAGTGGAAAATACACAAAAAAAAAGTCAGTACCTTGATGTTGGACCGCCTAAATGGCCAGTACATGCAGTGGGAAGACTTTAAAGTGTGTTAGTACACGCCTGTGTCTTTTGCTATACTCTGAGAATCACTGTTAATGACAAACGGAATTGATTACATAGACCCAGCAAAATTACATATTTATTTTCTGTATTAGGCCTACTTAAAGATATTACTATTATGTTTTCATTGTCCATTACACTGCAAACTGAGTTTTTAACTCATCAACCAAATAATATTAAATGTTAAATGCAATAATTTTAATGTCAATGACTACATTCTTTATATAGGAGTTCATTAAGTTGTTTACAATTAAACCTTGAAAATAATGATTTATCTTTACCTTGTGTGTTTATAGATCTGGGTGCAATTTCTATACATTTCTTCATTGAATATGGAGAACACTTCAATTCTTACCTAGGCAGCATGATGTACAGAGTCTGTGATAGACATCTACAACCTGTCAACTCACCAGATTCATCTGTAAGTAATTTTTATTCAAATTTAAAAATAGTAATTGATTAATATAACATGACATCTTCAACATACAGTAAAACTGCAGCATTAATCAATTATAGTACTTGATTAGGGATAATGTTAGACTTTTTAGTTATGTTAGGGGCGGTTTGGGAGCTCAAGCCTAGCTAATATGTGCCTAGTGTTAAACATACCTAACTTTAGTCCCCGGACAAGAAACCAGGCTTGGGAGCTCATGTCTAAGTTGAAATGGTCATAGATCATAGTCATGACTAAGTTACAGCGCAGCTAGATGGACAGGGAATCGTGGGGAATTTAGGTTTTGATGTTGGTAATGGCCACTGCAGAGCATATTACTGTTGACAACAACAAATGATGAACAATTGAAGATGGATACAATTTTATCTTGGTATATCAACGGTGGCTAATTAGTAGACTATGGTTTAAGTTTCTGCATTATACCATTGCAAAAATTTAGTTTTGTAAGATCATTGATTTACATCTCAATGATGGCTATGTTTTATCTCTGGTACTACACCTTATAAATATGTACAGAGTAGCATAGGCTTCTGAAAATCAATATGATTTCTTTCAGAGATCAAAAACATTAGGTAGCCTAATCATTTAACAAAGATTACTCAGTGTGTGGAACAGTAACATCTGAAACTCGGTTTCATGCAATAAAAAGTTTTAAAATTAAACAGCAATTTCCCTGTATAATATATAGGTATTGACAGAAATAAAATAAAAAATATTTTGTAATTGCGGAGGTTATGATAATATGAAGCAAATGTATATCTGTTAATACTTACAAAAGAATTGTTGTAAATTAAAAAAAAATTTAACATGACACTCTTTTATTTAACTTCCCTATAGTGAAGTAGCTATTACCATAGGCAGCACTTAGTTCCGGGACCAATATACTTTTCCATTTTGATGTCCCTAGAGGCCAAAAACATTTCCTATTCATTCATCCCTATTTGTTCAAGTGTTTATATATGTATAGCCTATATATCATATACACGTACATAAATGTGACAAATTGAGTAATTTTTGTCTGATTTTGATAAAATTTGGCATGAAAGTGTTAGGCATGATAAACCCTAATAATTTCACAAACCAGCATGATCAGATCATGGAAACCCGGGGTTTTATGGGATGAAAATAGTTTTTTTCTCAATTTTAACCCCTAAAACATAAATCTTTATCTTTAAAATATTTTAAAGAGTATAAAAAACAAATATTGAATAGTTTGGATTACAGAACATATTGTTGTTTACATAGCAAAGCTAGGGAAAAGTGAAAATTGCTTTATAAAGTAAAATACAGTGGTTATTTAATACAGTATTAAACATAAGGAATAAACAGTAGGCCTACTATAAATTACAATTTAAATAACTACAGTGCATATATCAATAAATACAGTATACATACAATAAAAAACTACTGTACTGTGTATAGAGTACAGCAATGAAGCATTCGGATTAGTGGATGTTCAGATTACAGGGGTTTGGATTAAAGAGGTTCTACTGTATCTTAAAATGTTTTGTATGGTTATTGGCTACAAAGACTATTCAAAAAATTTTTAATATAAAATTCCCATGTGATTCTCATGGAGAATAAGTTAACTGTTGTAGTTTTGTAGTTTATGGATATATTTTGATGAATCTTGGCAAATTTATTTATTTTATATAAAACTGTTAATATTTTGGTAAAAAACACTTTATTGCCCTCCCTGTAGTAGTATACCTACACATAGGTAGTTTTAGTTACTTGTTAAACCTAAAGCTATTTAAATAAATTTAATTGAAAGTCTTATTAGGTTATTGGATATTCACTTAATCTTTAGGTTTTCTGTGGTGGGAATATTGATTTACTGTACCAGTATATATTTTTTTATACTTCAAATAATCTAGGTACTACATTTTGATGTAACTAGTACTTGTCAATGACACTGAACTGAGCTCAATCACAACACAATTAAAAGTAAATTATTATGACTGTAAGCTATTTGCAGTTTTTTATATTTTGTTTATTATCTCTTCAATCTTTTGTAAGGGATGAGTGGGGGGGGGGTATGTGTGGTTGCTAATTTTTTCCTAGCTAATAAAATATTTATAATTAAGGTATGGATGCTTATAACCAAATCTCATTTGAAATAAATTCTATTCAGGCTCTATATTTTTATTGAAGTTAACAGTAAAAACAAAAACAAAATAATATTTCATTAAATTACTTCATGCAAGATTTTCTTTTATTTTGAACAAGAGAAACCTAAAAAAAAACTTTTATCAAATATACTTTAAGGGTAATGAAATTATTCAGAATTTAATAACAAATTCCAATATAACATTCTTTTACTTAATATGTAAACAACTAACTTGTTAATGAGGTAATACCAGCATGATATTAACTTAAACCTACCCCCTGGTAGGACTAAAGTTGGGGACTAATCTCACTGATTTTTATAACGAAAACATATCTCTTAGTTCTGAAATTGGTCTCCCAAACCCACCGAGACTATCTCTTAGACTAGCACCTAAGTCTACTTGACTCCCAAATCAACAATATTTAGGCACATGATTATCCTTGTACAAGTTAGGTGCATGTCTAACTGAAATTGAGCTTACAAACCTGTTTTCAAGGCAGCAGCCTAAAATGCCAGAAATATCTGGATTTAGTCACAGACTAGCACTAATACCAAGCTCTTAAACCACCCCTTAAAGTTGAAATAAATTATTTTCAAGATTAAAGAAACTATTCAAAATTAGACAACAGGTTTGCTGAGATTATTAAGCTTTTAATCATTAATTTATCTTGAGAAAGTTTCCAGATGAGGTTCATTAAGTCCAAAAGTAAAATATTAAATAAGCATAGTAATCTTATCTGAAAAAATTATCAACAAAAACCACATATTAGTTATATATATGGTGTACAGTTTACCTTACATCTAATTATACTATAATTTTTTTAAGATTTTACTATTTGTCTAGTCATCATAGGATAGAAACCCTTAACTTAAACACTTACCTATTATTCTATAATTGCCACAATTTTAATGTAAAGAATTGCCTTACATATGCATATGGATGTTTAAACACTGATATATTGAAACGTAGAAATTAGCTAACTCAGGAACTTTCTAACTCTGGAACTGGCTAACCATCTCAGTCAAGAATTGGCTAAATCCAGAACCTGCTAACTCAATTTTGTCTTGTAATGGAATTCACTAACTCTGGAAGCTGCTAACCTGGCCATGCCCACTGCATGGAGCATTGCCAACCTTGTATGATGAAATAATGAAATGTATTTTTTATTTAACTGTACAACGGCCAATTAAATATTTATGATTTTGATTTTTAGTATAAATTCCATCAGTATTATAGGAAAATAATAGAATATGAAAAATATTGAACATTGAGCTTAATTAGTACCAAATAATTAAACTTCTATGAAATTAAGCTAAAATACACACAAGTTCTCAAACATGGAAAACAAATGTAATCATAATGTTGTAATAAACCAAAACTATTAATTAATACAGTCATCAACTATCTTAACTTTCATAACTAATTCATAGATTTAAAATTAAAAGTTTAACGTTGAATCATCCAACTTACATGTAAAAATATAACATAGACTACGTTTCACTGTCTATGTTATGTATAGTCCCGGGTCCAAGCCATCCAACCTTGTTAAACAAAAGCAGCCAGTTATGAGTCTAGTGTTTGACGGAGAACATTATTACTTGCTGAGCATGGTCTGTAAATACAATAGAAATCTGTTTTTGCAACCGCTCTTTAGTTTGGGTGCACTCAGATTTTTTGCAGATTTTTAAGTTCACACTTGCCTTTATATTAGGTTTGCACTTGTATTTAGTCATGTTTAGACTTTTTATGTATTTAAATGTTTGTTTTTTAGATTAAATTTTGTAAATGTGTAAATTGTTTTTTAGGTTGGTTATAAATTTCCTCGTAAAATCCCCATCTGGCAATCTCAAAAATCTACTTTTTGTCCCATCTTTTTCCCTCCATTTGACAATACAATTCCAATGGGACTAACTATGTTCCAAGCAGTGCTGCTATCTGTGGGTATTTAGCAAACTATGTCAACTCTCATTGTAAAGCAGGACATCACCACATGTTATTTGCAATTCATCAGACCAAAATTAAAAAGCCAATTCTATGCGGCAATCGGGCTTGTTCTACACTGAGGGCAGCGCTGCACTGGGGATATACCCGCCATTTGACGTGCCATAGCAAATGTGTTAAAACACCATTTAACTAAATAAAACATTCTAATTATAACTAATAACACATCCCCTAGTTATATAATCAAAAAATAAAGAACAAATCATGAAGTTAACTATAAAATAATAGAAACATAATTTCATCAGCACTAGTAATCAGTGTCACTAGACATAACCTAGACAAGAAAAACAAGCTTCAAATTTTACAATGGGATGTAAAGTTTACTTGTGTTGGTTAGTCTATGGTAAAACTGTAATACATTTTCCATCCTAATTATAAAAATAATATTAAATATACTTCTAAATATATTTATTTTATTGACTATGTTACTCTTACTCCTAATTATTTATAGGATACAGCATTATGATACTGATACAATCATAGGTACTACACTTTTGACAACACTGGCCAAAAATTTTCATGCTTAGCTCCTATTGGATGGTGCATGAGGCTTCTAATTAGGAGTTAGTGAGTTTCACTGAGATACTGAGTTAGCAGTTTCTATTGAGGATAGAATTCACTAACCTAGCTCTAGAGTGGGTTAGTGGGTTCTGGAGTTAGCTAATTCCAAAACTGAACAAGTTCTCATCAACCAAATTTAAAGATAGAGCATTTAATATGGGGTTAGTGAGTTCTAGAGTTAACTATTTGAATCAAAGAAAGTAGAAATACTAAGACACTTTCTAGCAACTAAAAATTATAAATTAATATGTGATTTAAAATTAACTAAATTGTCAAATTCTTAAACACACAATG